ACTAAAAGCAATAGTCACAAAGACATTAGTACACGGACATTCAGGTTAAGCATAAAGCAGTTTTGTTTATATTAGTACAGAAAAACTGAGACATACATTCTGTTCCTGTCTCTGTTCTTCTTGCTGTGGTTCTGGTGGGGGTGCTGGTGGTGGAATTTCTTGACGATTGTTTCCTGGAGATAAAATAAGGAAAAGATTGATTTGAATATGTGTAATTCTTGCACAATGTAAAATAGTACAGTGTTACATTTTGTACATATAACATCATATTGTTTTAATTTGCTAAAGTAACAGACAAAATATATGTACATGTATGCCCAAGAAAATAGCATTTCTTCCAAGGTGTAGGATAAGTACTGATGTTTGTCAATAAATGCTGCTAAATCAATTTGGATACACTTGTTTCCAAGATTCATTGTACAATAAAATGTATATTTAGAAAGGTGTAGTTAAACTTTGACTTTCAAGTCTTTTTTGTGGGTTAAACAGATCTGCTTTAAAAAAAAATGTTCACTGACTTCTACATAGCTGGTTCAATCTGCTAACTAGAGATTTGTCGTTGTTGGTATGTTTCAGAAGATTATAAGTAAATTTTTCACAACTAATCATCATGATAATAATAAAATGTAAAATGAGTTCTAACTTAATAATTATTATTGTTTTGTAAACTACTGTTTAAGTTAGAACTCATTTTACATCCAACTTTCTAAGTATACATGGCATTCTTTTAAGGATTAAGGAATCACCCACACATAATATTTACATATACAGTGTACAGCAGGAAGTCAAATTGTATACAGAGTCTGCTAACACGTACATGAATGAATATTGCTCTCAGATTAATGCCACATCAAAGTTCGTTAAGGCTCACCTCCATTTCTTCTGAAGATCTGTAGAATCCCAGATTGGTACAAGTAGATCAAAACAAATGTAACAATCAACACCAAGAAACGACTCGTCGATGAGTAAAACCAAAATATGCTCAACAAGATTCCTATTCGGCAAAGTGTGTAAATCTTATCCAACCAATCACGATTAGGGTTCTCTTCATCCTCCTCTTCATCAAAAAGAGGTCCTGCATTGGCATTGGCTTGAACATTCTCATTCACTTGTGGCTGGGGTGCCTGTGGTTGCTCAGCAACCTGTTGTGGAGGAGTCTGTGGTACATTTTGAGGTGGTGGCGCCATAAATGGGGCTTGAAGTGCAGGAAAATGTCCTGCCTGTGGGAGCCACGGGTAGGGCATTTGCAGATGTCCACTGTAGACAGAAAGGCATGTTAATCAGCTAAATTATACAAAATGTGAAAGCATACAATCTGAACATATATAGATTTAGCCAAGCCTAAAAGCAGAGTTCCTAATTGAAGGCTTTTGTGCAAAAAGGACGTATGCACCATTTTGCATCGATTTTTATTTTTTGCAGGATTGAGCTAATTTTTGGCAGACTGACTTGTATTGACATGAAAAGCTTCGTTGCGTAATTGTTTTTGTTGATTTGTGCTTCATTTTCGAGAAATAACGTATCCAAAAAACTCAGTTTTCCAAGGGTATCTTTTGGAGATCTTTTGTTGAGAGAAAAACAAAAGAAACCTTTGTTTTGCTAAACGATGAAGCCACCGAAGCATGGTATTTGCCGCTAGTTTTATTATTTATATAATTACGCAATTCTCTTACTGTTGCTTCGTTAGCACAAGCGGATAAGGCGCTGAACGG